CAGTGGTAAAGAATATGGCATTCCAGAAGTACAGTCATATGGATCAAAGCTTGTTTACAAGGTTTGTTCGTCTGGGTATTCCGTACATTGAGCTCAATGCTCAGGGAAGAGCCAGGCCAAGCATAGCTAAGCTTTACAATTGGAGGTACAGAGAGTTAGGAGATCTTCCCTATGTAAAGGAGGAACCCATCTTCCATAGGGCAAATGGTGGATTCTCCTATGAGTATCAGTTGGTGGATGTGCCTGATTACAATGGGAGAGGGGAGAGTGCGCCATCTCCTTGGTTTTATCAGAATGAGGGAGAGGCTGAGTATGTTGTCAGTGTTTATATATACATGAGACTGCTAGGATATCCTGCAAATAAGATATCCATCCTGACAACATATAATGGCCAGAAGCTTCTGATTCGTGATGTTATCAACCGGCGCTGTGTCCCATATGACTTCATTGGTCCTCCCAGTAAGGTAAGTTATCATAGATGCCTTTTTCCGCAATATATCTTAAATCTCTGGGAAGGCGTCATAACATGGGCAATGGGTGAAATTTTTTAGACATGTTCTGTTTTCTATATGTTATGCAGGATTATTTTAATCAACCGGGTTGTACTTGATGTAATTTGGCCTTGCTTTTTCTGATGGCAATAAATTGTTAGGTTCCTTGTTTTCCTCTGGATAAAAATTCTTTGCTTTGTTCATTTTTTTTTCATAGGTTGCCACTGTTGATAAGTTTCAAGGCCAACAAAATGATTTTATTTTGCTGTCTCTTGTGCGTACTCGTTTTGTGGGTCACCTTCGTGATGTTCGAAGATTGATTGTTGCCATGTCTCGTGCTCGTCTTGGTCTTTATGTTTTCTGCCGCCGATCTCTGTTTGAGCAGTGCTATGAACTTCAGCCTACATTTCAACTGCTGCTTCAGAGACCTGATCATCTTGCTCTTAATGTGAATGAGAATATGCCTTTGACAGAACGTCATGTTGAAGATATTGGACCTTGCTATCTTGTTAGTGGTGTTGAGGAGATGGGCAGCATTGTTTATGGGAGAATTAATCAGATATATCAGGTATAACTAATTAACTCTTCTCTTTCTTTGATACTTGAGTTTCACCTTTAAGTGCTGTAATTTTTATTTATGTTAGCAATTTCTTAGCATTAGTTGCTAGTAGGATGAAATCTTAACCTTTGAAGAGGCAGCCTGAAAAACCATTTATTTTATATCCTCACCAGAGATATAATTCTGGTTGATATGTGATTTAAGGTCAGTTTAAACTTTTTGAATTCTACATTCAATGAACTTATCGGTTCTCTTCCATTAACTGTCCCTTAGAAGTGGCACGCAGCCTTCATGGATTTTATCCCCTTGTTTGGTTCTGTGATTTTTCTGTTAGGTTTACTGAAATTTGGAAGAACATTTATTATCTCATTTTTTTGCCAGTCAGAAAAAAAGAGATGGTCCTTATTATGTGGAATTATGCTGTTGCAGACAAAGAAACATGATAAAAACAGATTCCTGAAGTCTTTTTGTTAGCAGGAAATAAATTTTACTGGAGACAAAAGTGAACAGAACTGATTCCTTAATTCTGCAGCAACTATGGAATTAGAAGGAAAAAATTAGGTGTAGTGCAAAAGAGCACCCAAAATATAGTTATTTAAAGCAATGAAAAAGCAAGGGAACTAGTATACATGATGTAGGAAAAACTAGTGTTTAATTTGCCGACATTTTGTGATAATTTTTGGAGTTATTAGATATCACAACTAAGAATTAGGACAAAATAACTGGAAAGTAGCTACCAGCTACTCCTAGGAGGATTCTTTAGGATTCTTGAACATCAAACCAAGTCTTTTTTCTTAAGCATCACATATGGGATAACATAGCTGGAAAGTAGCCATGAGTCACTCCTAGAACTTAGTTATTCAAAAAGAATATGTGGGGCGTTTTCTCAATTTTCTGGATCTATTATGCAATCAAATCTTAAGTGTTTAAGGTTTCCTTGATGTAATAACTAAGAAATCCTAAACATCAAACTTAGGATTTCTTAGACATTTTTTTTTGGTTTGATTTTTGGGTTTTGTCCCCAAATCTCTAAGTAGGCAAAGTAGCCCATATTTGTCATATATTGGTTGGTATTAGAGTTAAAATAGTCCTATGCTAGAAGCTTCAAAATTCTATACCCAAACAGGCCTAAAACCCATCTTAAAAAAGAAAAAAAAACCAACGTAGAAATATTGCAAACACTAACCTTCTCTACCAGTCGCCATCCTAGATCACAACCACCAGTCAGAATTGCTCTTATCCTCCGGCTCTGTGGTGTGGTTGCAGATCTTGTAGAAAGTCAATGATTGGAAGCTGGATGAGTATGTTAATTTCCTGGAGCATCTTTTCTGTTGCAGTGGTCCTCATGGGTATTGATAAACTGGTACGGAAGCTAGGTTAATGGAGCTTTTCTTGTGAAATCTTTCTATTTTCAGGTGGTCAATATTTCCGCTGACAATCAAAATTTCCTTTGGAAATGGATTTGGAAACTTAATGCTTCTTCCCGAGTTGTGTTCTCTACTTGGGAACGGCGATAGATAACCTTATAGAAAGGGAGAAAATTCAAGTAAACAGTAGTTATTTTTGCGAGAGGGCAGAAAAATACTGAATCGGGTGTTGTTATGTTGCCTTTTCTCTTTTAGGTGCTGGTGCACTGCCTATGGGCTTGGTATGATTTTGGTGATGGCAAGATCAGTTGCTGATGAAATTTGTGCTTGGTGAGGCATCCAATGTGATAAGCATACTTTATACCACTTATTCCCTTGGCTACCTTTTGGGTTAACTTAAAGGAGAATAGTAGGACTCTTGAAGATATAAAATTAGTAAAGCTTCCATTCCGTATGGGTGAGCTTGGCGTTAGATCAATTGGGGAATTTAACCAGCTTTTGGAAAGTGGCAGCAGCGAGTTACATATGATCAGTTAGTCTATAATGGAGGGAGATCAAACCAAATTCGAGATGGAGATGACGGTGTAGAGGTCTAGGCAGTGTAAATCCCACATGGTCGGTCTCTGAAGAATTTAATTTTTCCTGATGAGTTCAGAGTTCTTAAAGAGGACTTTTTTA